CCCTCCGTCCTCATGTCGTTCAGGCCCAGGTCTTCATTCTGCTCAAACGTCCGCTCGTAGCGCTCCACCTTCAGCTCCGGGTCCTCTTCCGGGGCGTACGCGTTCTGCAGGGCGAGAGGGAGGCCTCCTTCACACCCCTCTTCTCGGTCTCCTCAGCAGCACCCCAGCAATGGCAAGGGGCTTCGGGCAAGACTCACGCCCCCCCCAACCACCCCACGGAGAGCACGACCACCACATTCCCAGCCCCTAATCCCGGGGAGCAGATACCGCTCCCGTGTTCCTTCCCACAAAGCCACCAGCAGTTTCCTTTCCCTGGACAGGGCCTGCAGCAACCCACTCGCTACCAGAGCCCCGAAGGGAGCCCCGCCTGCCCACATGCGTCAGGGAAATAACGAAGAAAATCCACTCAAACTGCTCAGGAGACCTCAAGGAGTTCATCTCTGAGTGCACAACACTGTACCTGAAGATAGCTGTTGCCTGCAGGGTCATCCATGATGAAGTGAGCCTTTGCCTTTCCCTCTATGATCTGCGGAAAGAGAGCACGTCCAGGCATTAAGGCTCTTCCTGATCCTTCAGCACTTCTGGCACCAAGACATTCACAGTTCTAACATTTTCCTCAGTTAAAAACCAGTAGTAGCTTGATAGAACAAGCGAGGACACGGGAGGACAAGCGTGGAACAGCTAGAAAAGGTAACGCAACACTTGCCGAGGAGTTCACTTAAACCTACTTCATAGCTGCAGCGACAGTGGCGAAAACCCCATTGCAGAGCACGGAAAATTAAGAGCGCACTCACCTCATGCAGTTTCCTAATGAACTCTTGCAGCTTTTCTGCTTTGCTGGGCGTAGAGCTGTCCCCCAGAGTGAAGGGGTTTCTCTCAACCTGGAAGAGCAGACCCACTCACTCAGCCAGCTGTAAGACACCCAGCCCCACAGCCAGGCCACAGATGGATGCCGAGGGGTCTGAGCTCCACCAGCAGCAGCGCAGGACCACTCACCAGGTCTCTGATGTCCTTCAGCAGCCCTTCCAGCGTGGTGAATTTCCCCCCCAGCGCTCCCATCCCCAGCTCAAACTCCAGCTCTGGGATCTCCACGCTGCACGTCTCCGACTGCAAGGGCGAGCACCCCGTGAGTCACCCAGACGGACGGCTGGGCCCCACGCGCCCGCCGCAGGAGGATAGGGCAGGTATCCGAATGCACTGTACCTTTAGGATATCCCTTGTCATGTCGGAAGGGTCTGTAATCCGAAGGGTAATCCTGGTGCCTTGCGGTTCAATTGCTCCTCCGGACTTCACCTAGGAACACCTGGCAGTCAGCTTCACGGACTTTTATGCTTAAATCATGCCAGGATGCTTTAAGAGGGTTTACCCTGGCAGTTCAGAGGCCGCTCCAAACCCAGAGACGGTGCCTTAACCCAGAGGACTTGAGCAGGAGCGGAGATGGCTGACTTGCACCAAATGGAGCTCTTCAAGACCAAATTCTCCCCCTTCACTTGTTTAGGAAGGCAAGCCAGACCCAGCCTGACCTGGCCGCACGTGCCGGCCCCCGCACAGCTCGCATACGGTCCGGCCCCCGCCCAGAAGCAAGGCAGGCAGCTCTACTACCACAGCGCGACGCACCTCACGACGCTGCCCGTAAATCCAGCCTCCCTCCCAGCCTGGCTTCCCAAAGAGCCGCATTGTGAAGCGGAGGCCGGGGCCTCTGAGAAACACCTACCCATGAAAGCACAGAACACCACTCCCCCTCCCCACTGCCCCCCCAAAAAGGGTCAGTAGTTTTCCAGCTCGCCTCATTTGTCCTGTGCCCACAGGAGTCGCAGTTGGTGGCCATGATAATCACTTCCTTGAAGTGTGGGATTTCTGGAGCAGACGGTCAAGGAACACTCAACGAAAGGAAAGCCTCAAAGAAGCAGCCTGCGCCCTCTTCACAGCCCCAGTCCTTCCCCAGGTATTGCAGGAGCTCGCTGGCAAGTTGGCAAGGAGCAGCACCGAGACAGATTTGCACCCTGACAGGCTCTTCTAGAAATAATTATTCATGCCCTATGGGCGCAGCAGGAAGAGACCTGGGTCAGCACACAGAGCGACTCCCACCCCCACGCCGGCCTCCGTGCAGACCCCCGCAGAGGGCCCCCATCTGCACCCACGCCCCCACTCAAAGGATACGCACTAACTTCATATTCGTGTTAGCTGGAGCGTTGCACTCGGGGCAGTTGGTGTTGAACTGCAGTACCTGGGTCACAGGAATGGGAAGGAGAATCAGAAAGTCCCGGCCAGCCCAGAAAGCCTGTCCTGGGTGCCAGTCGCCCAGGCACGGCCACCATTGCGCTGCAAAGTCACCCACCTCATTCCTCAGATCCTCCGCAGAATCAGCCGGCTTCTCATCCGACTCCTCTTCCTGCAAGAGGGGACACCAGAGGCAGTGTTGACTTCTCTTCCTTAATTCAGGGTCTCCCAGAGAGCACGGGGACTGATCAGCCCTGCTGCCCCAGGCCGAGAGCACGCGCGGCCCGCTGGCCTCCTGCGTGCGGCAGGCTGACGGCGCAGCACCAGCAGCTCCCCGTTACCTCCAGTCCCAGCATGGCAGCCTGCTGGGGAGTCCTCCTGTAGTGAGTGACCACAAGAGCGTCATCCTTCCGCGGTGCGTGAGGGTTCTCCACGAAGCTGTTCCCTGAAGGATCGTCTATGATCTAGGGGAGAAGGAAGCCGTAGGAAGCCATCTTGCGCTTCCCCGGGGCAGAAAGGGGCGGCACTCTTGCGCGTACTCACAAAGGTGAAGGAGGAATGTACTTCTTTCAGCTGCTTGAGCTTACGAATGAACTCATCTATTTTACTTGCCACCTCTTCGTCCGTCGCCTGCAAAAGAGGACGCGTTTGAGACTGATGCCAGGCGCAGCCCAGAGCTGCAGACGATGCTGACAACAGCACAAGAGCCCGTAACACTCTTCTGGTCAGCAGCGTGCAATGCCAATAGGCAGAGGATGAACAGAACAAGCATTTGCCAAGCAGGCGTCCCTGAGGAGCTGCCCCTTTCACAGCCTCTTACCCTGCGGACGGGCTGGTCCTGTTCCAGGCCCGCGACAGCTCTGTCAATTATCCCTTCAATGGTGGTAAGAACTTGAGCAGGAAAGAAAACAGAAGCGACGGCACCGTTAAAGTACGCCACGGCGGCGCTACCCACCCTGCCAGCTCGTACCGATCCCTGGCAGCCTCCCTCTCAAGCTCATTTGACCCAATGGAGAGGAGGCCAGGTCCTCAACCGGTGCCTACCGTGCCCCCGGGCGCAGGCCGCGTACCCACCTCCCTTCTGGGTGAAAGCAGGGATCTCAAAGTCCAGCTCTGGAATTCGAGCCGTGGCACAGTCGGTCTTCACCACCTCCCTGTTCATGTCCTGCAGAGGACAGTCGAAGAGCGGCGTTGGGATCCCCAAGAGAACCAGGAGCTCCCGCACGCTAAGCCACCACGCTGGGGCACGCAGTGCCCGCCAAAGCAGCAGCGTCAGCTCCAGGCCAGCTTCAGCAAGCAGCCCGAGGCGAGCTCCACCAGCCTCTCCATTCGCGCAGGAGCGCGCCGGGAATACGCACATTGTGGGCTTTAAACGGTTACTACCAAACAAATAACGCCATTTCTCAAACGGCACAGAAGATACAGACTTTATTGCTCAAGCAAGGCCAGCTTGTGAGGGACAGAGGTGTGCACAAGGCACCTGCGCGGCGGCTCCCCGCCGCCCTGGC